CCGGAAATGCGGTCCAAGAACACCTTGTCCCTTGGTTCCAGGAGAATGTGAAACTAGCCTTGTCTCCTTTCATGACAAGTCTAGTTCTTTACAATGAAACAAGAAAAGAAAGGAAGGAAGGAAGGAAGGAAGGAAGGAAGGAAGGAAGGAAGGAAGAACTTGAGACTAAGCACCCCCATCCATGTTCCCCTGGCTCTGATCCCCAAGCCATTTGGACAACACCCCCCTCCTAAGATTCTCATTTGTGCAGAGACAAAGCAGCCGGTTCAACATAATTAACATCTCCTTTCTGCAATTCCTAGTGTGTCCTTTGAAGCAAACAAGCCATTTTCTCTCAACATATGAAATACTGAATTCTAAAAGAGAAGCAAGATTTAAGTGGCAAGGAGGGAAGGCCTCCACGGCTTTCCTAAAATAATTGTCTGCGCTGGACGCACCTCGCTGAAATGTTCTCTGCAGCAATGTAATTAAATGCCTGAGGCTCGGCTGCCAAATCTCCGCACAGCAGAGACCCGGACTTTTGCCTGGCGGGTTCAAGTTCAAATACGCAGTCAAGTTCATGTCCCCGGGACCCACTGGAGTCCTGGAAGGCTCCTTGTTTGAGAGTCCGCATGCCAGCTCTCTCAGACTGGGTTTAGCTCAGAACCTCGGTCATGAACTTGTGGAGGGCACCGTCGTAGGGGTAGAGAAGGGCCTGCCCTAAGAAAAATGCTTATAACAGCAGGTGTGCGAGCCCAGGAACCGTCCAGGTACAGAAACCTCCAGTCAGGCGGCCTGTCTCACCACTGCGGGGGCAAATGTACTGGAGAAGCCAGCTGCTCTCAGCCGAGCTGCTGGTACTGAGTTTAATATTCCTGCTAATGGGCTCTAAGCGGGTAAGCTATGCGCTCAAGTAGCCGCTTCTCAAATCGTCTTTTCTGGCTGCGATTTTTTCAAATACTTTCACCAAGGATGCTGCGCCCCAATTAAAGCAGCAGTGCCCCGTGACAGGTCCAGGATTGACACGCAGGAAAAATTCCTCTCTCTGTCACACCCTGGCTCATCATCGCGGCCTACCACTCTGCCACTTACATCCTGGTTCAAAAACAATTCCTGGCTCTTCTGGGGGCGGAAGGATCGCTTACAGGATCCCGGGCCAGCCATCCGTGGAGCACTGGCTACCGGGGTTTACCCAACAGGAACAGAGCTAGCGGCTGCCTCTTAATAAGACAAGGATATTATTGCATTTGAGGCTGGGTAATTTAATCAGGAGGCAGAAGTGGCTTGGGGCATATATATTTATTTGTACCCTGCCTTGTTCCAGAGAGGGCTGCAAGTGGTTTACGAGGGTATGTAAACCACCACACGATAGCTCCAATTAGATAGGAGAGTAGGAATTAGATGTTTCTGGAGGGCCGTCTGCCAATCCAGAGCGACAGCCTCCAGGTTTCTCCTTGTGTATTTAACCCAGCCAATCCGAGTCTAAGAATTTGGCCCAGGGAAACCGTGTGGACAAGCACATGACTGCTGCAACGATGCTCATTAAAGCGCTGTTTAAAATTGGACACCTAGAATTTTCTCCCTGCAGTTCTTTGACGGCAGGGGGCTTGATTTCAAAACGTAAGGTGTATGCGCAGGAGGGAATACTATGCAGCCGTGAAAATAGGAGATCAGCGGGGATTTTTATCGTCATCTTCAGATTGATTTTATCTTCTAAGTTTCCTACAGTGAGCACATATTGGTCTTGGAAAGATTTTTCAACCTCCTCCCCCCCACCCCCCCTTTTCTTTTTTTTTTGCAACGGAGACGAGGAAGAAAGAGAAAAGTGGGGAGGTAGACAGAGCCAAAAATTAGGCTAAGAAAAACTCATCCCTTTAAAACCCGAACAGCCAGCATATGGTCAAGCCATAAATTTGGCTCTAGGTTCCTTAGCAGCCAGCTCAAAAAGGGAAAGCTGGTCATTTATGCGGTTCCCAGTGTCCTGAAACAAAAGCACACCAGCTGCTTAGCAGCGAGCTTAACTATTTTCGGTCCCAAGAACAGGCAAGGATCTCTCCCACGATCCTCCCAAAAAGGAGTCCCTGTGATGGCACCAGGATCTTTCCAGACAACATTCTTACACTGGGGAGGAGCGGGGGGTGGGGGGGGCAAAATAGGTGAAGGGATTAAGAGGCACAAACTTGCAGTTTTAAAATAAATAAGTCACAGGGATGAAAAGTACAGCACAGGGAATGTAGTCAATATATTGTAACAACATTGGACGGGGACAGATGGGGACTACACTTCTCGGGGTGAGCATTGCATAATGTATAGAATCATCAGATCGCTTTGTTGCACACCTGAAACTAATATCACATTGCATATTTTTCCAGTTAAAAAACCTCACGACAGGGGCGCCCGGCTGGCTCAGTCCATGGAGCATGCAACTTTTGATCTCGGGGTTGTGAGTTCGAGCCCCGTGTTGGGTGTAGAGATTACTTAAAAATATATAAAATCTTAAGAAAGAACAAAAGAAAACAAAACTTATCCAGAAACAGCTCATTTCCTTTGGCTGTTTCTTACTCCCACTCGGGTGGTAGAGAAGAGCCCGGTGGTTGACCGCAGAGTCCGGGGGTCAGGCTGCCTGGGTCTATGTCCTGACTTGGCCACTCGCTTGTTGTCTGGCCTGGGCAAGTCATTTAACCTCTGTTAAATGCACAGCCTCTGCTTCCTCATCTGGAAAATGGACACGGTAATTGTACCTACCTCATAGGGCTCGTGGGAAGCGTGAATGAATTAATGCTTTTTGTGCGAGCAACTGGTAACAGTCATTGGCACGTAGTAAGTGCTATGTGTTTGCCCTTATTATTATTACCCTCATGACTCTAAAGCCAATTTGCTAACTTCCTGAAGTCAAAATGGTCTGACCTTGATGCAGGCACTGAACTGAGATGATCCGGAAGAACTCAGGAGAGTCCCGTGGAGCTGGGGTGGAGGCTGCAGGATGATGAAGAGTTGAAAGGCCGATGTTGGAGAGGAGTGAGCCTCATGGAAGATGGGCAGAGACACTTGTCCCGTCCTCGTCCCCATGTGGCTCAGTCGGCCCCCTGTCCTGGAGCATCTCCTATGCCAGCAAGCAACAAGGTGGCACGGCCGTTGTCTCTGGCCCGTCCTCTGGTCTTGCCCGAACACCCTGCTTTTCCCGCCTCCAGGCCTTCGCCCTGGCGGGACCCTCTGCCATCAACACTCTTGCCCCATCTCACAGCCGGGCTAACTCTTCCCGTTCCTGGGGCTGTTGCATAAATGTCTCTTCCAAAAGCAGTCTCGCTGTCCCTGCCCCATGTCACCCACCTCTCAAGGCATCCTGGGCTGGCTTTCCCTAACATTTCTGCTTCTTACTCTATGTCCAGATCGTT